TTTACATCAAAGAGGACGGATGACTAAGGAAGGCAGTTATCCCCAAGCTGAGAGGATGAGTATTCCCGAGTCAATAAGCGGAGACCTAGCTTATGCTGACGTGATTTGGATAGATTCCTCAATCTCCTCGTAGGGCTCCGTCGAAACCAGACCAACGGAGTGCTGCTCAGAGGCCAGTTCCGCTACAGCCGCGGAGGATTCATCCACCTGCAAAGACAATTATCAGATAAATTAGAGAAGAACAACAGAGTCACTAGACTCGCAATAACTCAAGAGCTGAACCATACCTCCTGTAGGCCTGAGATGGCGCATTCCTTTTCAACTCTATTGGCCAATGGGACAGGCTGCATCGGTCGACTGTGTACCATGTGGGATGATATGGTTATGGGAGCTAAAACAAGGGAATAGTACAGCATATCATCAGTGAATAGCCACATAGCAAGAAGATACACAAAAATTGAAGATTCGACTGCACAAATGAGGCTTAGATTCCAACGAAGTCAATGTGAGTAGGCACGCAAGGCCCGCACAGAACATCCTGTCAATCCAATAAGTTCCTCGAGCATTTTTTTTATACCAAAATCGGCATCATAGGCCTATAAGGGCCCACGTCTTCGATTCTATTAGATACGTCTTTCGCTTGTCGATGCACTTTCAATGAAGGATACAAAGAATTACCTCCTCTTGTCCGTCAGAGAGAGATAGCATAAACCAGAATGGATAAAAGGGCCTCCTGGAGGAAATGGAAATCCCGTGGTGAACTGGAATACTATTAAGCTAGTGAGATTGATATGAAGGAATGGAGCGTTGACCAGAAGCCCATTGCATGTCTGGTTTAAAAAATGTGTATGGGGTTAGATAAAATTTTACGCTCTTAAAACTCAAGTCATACAAAACGGACGAAACAGTAAAGAAATTCAGTGGGCGGGGGCAACAGAGACCCACAACATCGTCGGTTAGAGACACCGTTAGACAGGTTGCCTTATTAAAACCATTGCTTCCTACGATTGGCTTCGTCATTTTCAGAATTTTACTGACTGATTTCGATTACGTGGGGCTTAGGACTGGCCCTCAGGATACCCTAGGGTGCCTCAAATGTTTAGGCCTACGATAGGCATTCATAACCTTCGGACATAATCTCCTTTAAGCCATGAGATCGATGTAATAAGGTTACTCACTGTCTGATTTTCAAATACTTAGGACTAACAGTCCTTGATGTGATCAAGTACCGATCAGACAACTAGGTCACAAGCTGTATCAGCGTTTTGGCATGGCGAATGCTCTCTGCCACCAAATAAGTC